AAACTGAGGCACCTAGCAAGGCCCAGGAGAGAGTTTTTCCTGGAATAAAGGAAGATTATAGAAGAGGAATGTTTTATGTTAAGGCTTAATAGGAAGACAGACAATAAATGATTATAATCAGGTGTTAAGAAAAGTTCCTTCCAGGCAGCAGGAAGAATTTAATTCCTATACGTGTGGAATCCTGCCGACCATAGTGTGGGTTATGTGCTAAGCCAATTGAATACAGTAGAATTTCATCTTATAATGCTTTGTGTGTCAAGACTAAGTCAAATAAAACCCAGAATGATATATGAAAGAGTGTAGGTTGTACATAGAGACTGACAATGGCCAAAAAAAAAAAAAATTATCTGGTTTTGTTTTGAGCAGGAGGTGATGCGATTATGGAAGTATGACTTGAGCAAAGCTTCAGAAAGTCCATTGTGGCATTTTGTGCAAAGAATTAAAGGACAGGGAAAGAGTGAAAGGAGGTGGATCCATCAAGGGTATATCAAAGTATCACTGATGATAACGATTAACACCTAAATGAGGACAGGGCAGAGAGGAGGATCAGGAGCACAGGAATTAAAGAGCCCAGCATTATACGGGTCATATTTGACAATAAATGTGATGTAATAACAAAGAAAAAACTCAAAGATAGCTTGGTTTATAGTTCCTTACCTCATATTCAAAGACAAAAAATAAAACCAGCCAGTGATGTCAACAAACTATCGACAACAACTATTCACAGAATCTGATGTCGATAGAGCCAAGCAGTGAACCTGCAGTCCTGAGAGTCCCTTCCCAGGGGACCTATGTAAAGGCCCCAGGTAACACCATGAATTGCAGGTTCAACTCACAACCCAGCAATTACCGCACCTTATGGGAATGAGCATTGCAAGGGTGCAGGTCTACCTAGGAATTGTCATCACAGGTTGTTCTTACTACAGAGGAAACCAGCTGACATACTCAGAAAGAGCCCATAGGTAGCCACGAAAGCTCGTGGGTCTGGAAACAACACTGAGGTGCACAGGCATCTCGGTGAGCGACGTCTCACTGGACCCTAAATTTACATCTTAGTTTCTTCCTGTTTCATCCGTTGCAGACTTTCAAGTAGTGTGATATCTTTTCCAGGTTAAATTGCTCTTTAAGGTTCTTATTTATTTATTTATTTATGCATACAGAACTGGGGTGCAGGCCAGAGGCTCAGGGGCAGTGAGTGGATTCACCAGGAACAGAGTGGGGAGCAGAATAGGCAGATCGACGAAGTACACTGCTGAGGGGAGCAGCGGGCGGGTCAGGAGAGGTCTGCCGCACCATGTGGTCACCTCCGGGGCAGGCGGGGATTGAACTCATGCGGAAACGGCTTTAGATTCTCAGTGCTGTGCTTTAACCCGCTGCGCCACCAGGGAGGGCCTCATTGAGGTTCTTTTTAAAGGAGCCAGAATGCTCGAGAGCAAGGTGGCTACAAAACGTTTCCTGTAAAAATCGGATATTTCAGTCTTTGCAAATGATACGGTTTCTGCGTCAACTACTCAAATTGACCATTGTGGAAAAGTAACTGCAGACAACACATAATGCATGGGTGTGGCTGTGTTGTGCTAAAAATTTACTTACAATCAGCCAAATGTGGCCTTCAGGCCATGGTTTGCCAAGGCTGTGTGGGCCGTACTAGTTAACGTGTAGGCGTCAATTTCAGATACACCATTGACAAAATATCTGGATTTGACCAGGAGTTTCTGTAAAATGTCTAATCATGCCTTGCTCATTGCTTTGTGGGAATTAGAGAAAATGTATTTAAAATCCCTTTTAAAGAACAGTGTTCACGTGGGCCACTATTTGTTTTAATTTCAAGGCATAATCTGAGTAATAGTTAATCTTTATTGAAGGCTTCTAGGAGCTATCAGCTATCATGTACAGCACTTCACAATGATTATTTCATTTAATTTTCCAACAACTCTCTGAAGAAGAAACATGCATAGAGTCTCTTTCCACTCCTCCAGAAACTGAGGCACCTAGCAAGGCCCAGGAGAGAGTAAGTGTCAAACACTTGTCCAGAGCAGGCAGATGCCAGAGGCTTTGCTGCTGGCCTCTAGGTTGTGTAAATGGCTCCATTTATTCAATTCAATTAAAATACTAGAATATTTTCAAGTCCTAAAGAGTTTTCAGGACTCTTCACAGTGCAACACCACTGCAAAAAACTCAGTACACAACTTTTGGAAATTCATCAGCAGGTTCACACTCCAATAACTTCATACATAAGTAAAACATTTATACTAACCCTCTACCTGCCCACCTATTTCCCTACCCCACCCCCCTTTCCAACCGAGGTCTCCAGCTAAGGGAAACAGAACTATTGGTAAAAATACAAACATTTCAAAAAATTGATCCCATCATCACCCTAAACACCTGCCAATTTCAAGCTACATTGTTAAGCATCCTGGATTAATTATGCCAAACCAAAGCAATAACCTTGAATGAAAGTTGCAACCTTCTATTTTTAAGAAACACTTGCCTTTCTGGTTGATGAAACCTGTCGTCCCATCAGGTAACAGACGTGACCAGGAAAGAGAGAAGCGGTAATGAGTCAATCCAAGCTGTTTGATACATTTCAAATCTTCCTCCCACAGAGTGTAGCTGCCACAAGCCACATCACCAGTCTGGTTCTTGAAAACTCTCTCTCCTCCCTGATGGGTGAATGTGTCCCAGACACTAGGGCCTTTTCCATCCATATCCCAGCCTCCTGAGAAAAAGAAGAAAATGGAGTGGTTACCCTCTAAACATCAAGAGGCATATGTGGAATGTAAATATTTGTCGCCAAAAGAACATACCTCATTAACTCAACATACCATATTTATAACCTTAAAATATGCCTTTAAAATAACATGCATGAGCAGGTTACGTGTTTAGCTGCCCTTGATCCCTGAAACTGACTGGTGGCAAATGAAAAATTATTGCATAGTGCTGCTGCATCGCCAACTTTCATGGCTCATTATCTGACTGTCTCCCAGCTGGTAAACACAGGCAAGTCCCAGCTTATGAATGTCTTAGTTGAAAACATTCCTTGTAAACGTTTCTCCTGGCCGTGACTCACATGCCTTGTCCTTGATGTACATGATGAAATCTTGGGATCTTATCATTAGCCCTCTACAGTCAAACCATATTCTGTAGTGATAGCATGAAGCTGATGGTTCAGTCAGGTATGATAAGGAGAACACTAGTTCCTGCCATGGCTGATACATGGGTGTCACTGGTTGTCACTGGTTATGGGGGAGATTTCTTCATGAGATTATACTAACACAGGCCTCCCTGGTGGCACAGGGGTTAAGTCTCAGCACTATCAAGCTATCGAGCTACCACCAGCCACTGCAGCATGACTTCGATCCCCGGCCAGGAAGCTGACTTATATGGCGCAGCAGACCTCTCCTGTTTCGCCCACTGTGCCCCTCAGCAGTGGACTTCACTGATTTGCCTGTTCTGTTCCCCACTCTGTCTCTGGTGAATCCTCTCACTGTCCCTGCACCTCTGACTTGTACCCCAGTTCTGTATGCATAAATAAATAAATCTTTTTTAAAAAATTATACTAACAAATTATCAAATATGTTATTTGAAGTATATACATATATATTTATATTTATATTTAATGATAGTGCAAATATGCACACAATGTGGGCAGAATAACATAATCAAGTTCCACATGCTTCCGAATTTTTACCTTTTGCCAAGATTGTTTCATCTGTACCTCACCCACATTTCTGCTTTTATCTGTAAGCATTTTAGAATTCTCTCTGACAGACCACTTTTTTTTAAGATTTATTTATTTATGCATATAAGAACTGATGTGCAGGCCAGAGGTGTTGGGGAGTAAGAGGATTCACCAGAGACAGAGTGGGGAGCAGAACAGGCTGACTGACCAAGTACACTGCTTAAGGCAGCAGCAGGTGGGTCAGGAGAGGTCTGCCACACCATGTGGGTCTCCTCTCCCACAGAGGATCTAACTTGTGATTCAGTGGCTGTGGATAGCCTCACAGTGCTGTGCTTTAACTCACTGCACCACAGGGAAGGTCCGACAGACCATTTTATAGCTGTGATAAAAAAAAATACAGTTAACATAAAATTTCCACCTTAACCACTTTTACATGTACAGCTCATGACATGAAATATGCTTGTGTCGTGTGTGATCATCTCCACGGCCATCTCCAAACTCATCATTCTGGCAAAACCAAAACTCCGTAATAATTTAGCAAAGACTTCCCATTCCTTCTGCACTGGATAACGAACGCGTAATTCCTTGAATAGTGGACATAAATAGATAAATTGTGCCTGGCAGTCAAGAAAGTGGTAAGAGAGAACAGAAAGTGGATAAATGGGTAAATCCTCATCTTTCACAATAAGAAGAAAATGAATAATTCCCAAACATGAAAAATATCAAGAACTAATGATATAAGCATGTTGTTGAAGATAAAGGAGTCAATGTCAAGAGCACAAATTGAATGAATAAAAAGAGGATTCCTCCAGGGAAGGGAACATGAGGAGACCCAATGATTGATGGGTCAGTTTTGCTTTGATTCTTTAAATTATTTTATAATATTAAATTTAAGTAGTAGCATGAAAGTAAAGTGCACATAGTCACAGACAAAATAAAGACATTACTAGATTTGAATATAATCTAAACAAACTCTTAAAATATCAAACAATAATAGTGCTTTTTCGTAAGAATTAAAAAGAACAAATCTATAGAACTAAAATCCCAGACCAAAAAATAAAAAACAACATATAAGCAAAAGGATGAGAAATCAAATTTAAAATGTTCTCGAGTTTTCAGTTGGTTTACAAAAAGGCTAAAGATATTGATTAACATTTCACCTTGTATACTTTGTATTCAAGTCAAAATTTCTAGAGTAAGCACTTAAAGAAAAAAATGAAATTTATAGTTTTAAAGAAGAGTACAAAACCTCTATAGCAATAGAATGTGGTTCTATTCTAAATGTGTATATATAAGTACCTTGCAATATTATAATGAAGCAACTGCCCTATTATCCCCATAAACAAATAAAGGCAGTAAGAAATCAAGGCGTTAATTAACCTACTACATACTAAGGCTAAGGATCCAAAGTCAACAGTTCAGTTTCTATCCTCTTAACCATTATTAAGTGGGGGAAACTAAATAAAATAAGAGAACAAGAAAATCAGCGGAAAAATAAGAATAGCAAAAACAAGATGGTGGTACAAAATACACATAATCATATATGAGAAATAATAGATCATTATACTATAGCAATGTATGTCAATGGACTAAATGCTTCAGATAAAAAACAGATTTTCAAACTATATTTAAGTCCAGTGTTATGTTATTTCTAAATATCACCTAATACAGAAGAATATAGAAACCTTAAGAGTCAAAATATGGAAAAAGAAAATCTGTGTCCCTGTCTCCTCCCATTGTGGGGGACCCTCACTAGAGACGACCTGGGTAGTGACTGTATAACGACAACCTAGGTCTAACTGTGAATGCACCTAGGAATCTGGTCTCAAACTATGTGAAGCCAAAATTGATACAACTAAAAACACAGTTGACAAATCTACCTCTATAATGGGAAATTTTAATTGAGTTCTATCAAACATTAAAAAAAAAAAAAACTCAACAAACATTTCCCTTTAAAATATATTCCAGAAAGTGCAAAAGAATTCCTCAACTCATTTTATGTTTCTAGACTACTGTTGATAACAAACCTTCTTTAAGCAATAAGAAAAAGAGAATAGGGATGGCAGATGTTAATAAGCTTGATCTAATGGATATAATGACATTGCACAATAATGAATGGCACAATTAAGGATATACATTCTTTTCAAGCAGACAAAAACATTATGAAAGTTGAATGTAAGTTTATCCATAAGTAAAATCTCCATAAATTTCAAAGTGTTGGAGAATTGCAAATGACAATCTAATCAATAATATGAGAATTCATTAACTAAAGAGCATTAGAGAGCCCTCCCTAGTGGTGCAATGAGTTAAAGCACAACACTGAAGCTATCTGCAGCCACTGCAGCACAAGTTCAGCCCCTGGCCAGGGAGGTTACCCACGTGGTGTGGCAGATCTCTCCTGACTCACCTGCTGATCCCTCAGCAGTATATTTTAGTAGCTCTGCCTGTTCTGCTCCCCATTCTATCTCTGGTAAATCCTCTTACCCCCACACCTCTAGCCTGTACCCCAGTTCTTGTGTGCATATATAAATAAATATTTTTTTAAAACAGTTATATTTTCTCATAAACAAATTGCCATGCCAGTTGATTTGACAATCGAGTTCTAACAGATATCTAAAAGACAAAATTAACACACTCATCATGCAATATAGAGAAACAAACAATGGGCTAGGAAAACCAAACCTTCCCCCCTCCGCAAAAAAAAAAAAAAAAAAGAATCTGACTATAAAATGGAGAAACCCATAGGAGTTGAGAGAAGGTGAAGAGTAGTGAGGAGATTCAGTAAACAATGGTGAAGGACTCGGTTCGTTGAGGGTAGGTGAGGGGGGTAGCAAACATCTGAAGAGGTGTGAACCTGTACTACTGAAATGTATAGTGTTATAAAGCAGTCTTACCCAATAAAAATAAAAACAATGCAGTATTGACTTCACAACACGTGTAAGCATTATATGTATGACAAGTCACCCAAAGCCAGAAAGGGAGAAATGGTTGAGCTCTATTTTAAGAGTTGTGGGTAATTCCTGAAGGGTATATTACCACTTGAGGTGGCTGTGGGATATTAAATAATGTCTACTACAAATCTAAAAGGAAGCACTGAAACAACAAGACAAAGAGTTATATAGTTAATAAACCAGCAAAGAATATGTAATGCAATCACAAAAAAATTAATCTGAGAAAGAGGGAAAAGAGTATAAAAGACTGATGGAACAAATAGAAAGCAAATAGCATGACTAAAGGTCAAAGATTATTAGATTAGATAAAAACACTAAGCTCAGCTATCTGCAGCCTACAAGAACCTGACTTTAATAGAAAGACGCCAGAAGGTTAAAAGTGATAGGATGAAAAAGAGGCAGCATGCTAACACCAATTAAAGAAAACTAGAGTAGCTATATTAATATCAATGAAGATTTCAGAGCAGTATTACCTGGTAGGAGAAAAATCATTTCATATTATTAAATGGGTCAATTTATCAAGAGGACTTATAATCTGAAATGTTTATGAACCTATTAACAAGTCCAAAATATATACAGCAAAAATTGATAGAACTGCAAAAAAAAAAAAAGAGAGAGAGAGAGAGAGAAATTCAGTTATATTTGGGTATCTCAATTGAAAAGGCCACACAAGTGTAAAAAAAAGAGAGAGAGAGAGACAAAAAGACAAAAGAAGTGAAGAGTTCCTTCACGGGAGAAACACATGGCTAGTAAGCATTTTATTAAATGCAAGAGATCATTAAAAATCTGGGAACTGCAAATGAAAACCACAATGAGATATTTTTCTACACCCACACAATTGGCACGCATTTGAAAGCTGGGCAAGATCAAGCTTAAAGAAGTACATATTTGCAGAGCTGCAGCACGGCAGGTATGTTTATCCACTGCCAGTAGGAAAATAATATGAAGCATCTAGGAAATTTGAAGAAGTGCATTTACCGAAATGTGGGTTCCTGTGCATGGTTACTAGCTGGCCACTCATGGGCAACCCTGTCCTATCTGCTCTCTGCAAATCCCAGCAGAACATTCCTTGACAACCTACAGAGA